AAAAAAAAAAAAAAAATGTCAGATGAGTATCTCACTGCGTAGTAGTTGCATTTCCCCCAAATGTATTAAACAAATGCCTCTATGTTATGGATAAAAAAAATTTCGAAGTTTTTATAACCAATAACAATCCTTTAAATAAGACGAGGTTGTTTGGCAAAATGAATGATGCTACAAATAATTATAAAATGTTGGACATATATCTCAAATTCCGTTGTAGTCTAGGTGGTTAGGATACTCGGCTCTCACCCGAGAGACCCGGGTTCAAGTCCCGGCAACGGAATACATGGTTTTTTTTTTTTTCATTTTGTTAATTAATTATATTCAATAATGCTAAAGAGCCGGGTTCAAGTCCCGGCAACGCCATAATTATTTTTGAATATTTGAATCAAATCTCATTCATGAGTAATTTAGGAAGAAAATAATAATAATAATAATAATAATAACAAATAATAATAAGATTATGTTTTGTTAGTATGTAAACCATTCAAACAAAAATTCTTTTTTAGCTCGTCTATCAAATTGTTAGTTAAATTTCACGTTCTTTTGTGTTTCAACAATTTATTAAAAAAAAAAAATTACTAGATTTTGTTTTATTAAATTGAGCGATCACTTCGTTTGAAATCGCTCGAAAAATAATATCTTTAATAATAAAATCCATGCTTTAGATTTTTTCTATTCAAAATATCATACATGTCAAATATAAAATTTCAATATTAAAAGTAATCACAAACATTCGATAATGTCCGCGAACGGACTTGTGTTTACTCAACTACCAAACGAGTTTCTTTATCTTTTGTTCGAGCACGATTATCACACATGAACGAGCTTTTGTACGCAGAACATTATATACAACTCTAAAGCTTGTTCTCTAATCATGTGAAATCAAGAAAGGTGAACTTAGATCGATTTTTTTTTTTTCTTTTCTTTTCTTTTCTATTCAACCTAATATCGTGCTTCTAACCACTCGGGTAATTAAACACGATGTTTAGAATATTGCTTCTAATCAATCTATATATATTCATTTTTTTCCCTTAATTAATGAATTTCACTCTATATATAAAAGCATATGCTCTTCTTTTAATTAGGTCTCTTTAATAAATTATCACACTATAAACAAATTCACACACACACACACTGAGATGACATCTAAAATGCAGAGAAAATGGCACTGCGCAAAAGGGTTCAAATCTTGAGAACTCTAACCAAATCCAAACCAGTAATATATATATATATATATATATATGATTATTTTGTTCTAGCTTCTAATTATAGTGTTTTTTTTTCTTCTTATTTATAAGCCATTTTGTTTTTGTTTTCTTATTTATAAGCCACTTTTGTTTTCTTTTTAGAATTTATGCACAACTCGTGTTGTGCACATAACTGATAAAAAAAAAAAAACAATAGGATTAAACAAGTAAAATTATTCATTTGTTTTTTTTTTTTGGGTACTATTTTTAAATGGTTTTTTGTGCTTGTGGAGGTGAGAAGGTGCTCAATTATGAATATGGATGCCTTTGTTTACATCCATAAGATAAAGCTCCAAATTGAAGCAATGAAGAAAGAGTACCAATTCCTTATAAATCATATCCAAGTACTCAATATCTCTCTCTCTCTTTAAACTCTATCCTATTGTTCTCACCATTTTTTTGTTTAAAGTTGAATCAAAATACACATCCATTTGAAATTGTATACAAATATGTATGATCTAATGACAAAAATATCGGTATGAACACTAGGTCGAACTTACGCTCTCTAATATTTTCATGAAAAGAAAAAGAAAAAATCATAAGCAATACTAGCTTTTAATGATAGAAACTTGTATTGTATGAGGTGGTCTAGCTGTCAGACAGGTCGACTCATCATACTTTAATAACAAAAATACATATCTATGCTATGAAATGTCATATTTTATGTTTATTTTGTTTATAAATTTTTTTAGAGTAGGACATATTCATTTAAAAATATACATATCGCTAGAAACAATATGGCGGTTTGACTACAAGTCCAAAGGTTTGGTTAACAACACTTAAGGAATATTGAGTAATAATTTTCCAATTACATCATTAAATATTGACATTAGTTAATATTACACGGTCGCGCGCTTAATTATAACAGGACGTGAATATGGAGAAGCTGGGGACCGAATATTTGACTTAAAGGTGAAATGCAAGAAACACGATAACATGCTCGTTCCAATCTTGGGGGCCTTCGAAAGATTGAATCTAAAGATCGTGCGGGCGAGAGTTACATGCAATCTCTTCTTCGAGATGGAAGCCATTGTTGAAGCCAAAATTGATGCAACTTTACTGAGTCAAGCTATTGTCGAGGTTATTAAGGAGCCAAATATACGAAAAAAAAAGTCTACTTTGTTAATTTGTGTGTGACAACATGTGGAAACATTGTGTGTTATGAGTTAGTAAAAGGTCACTTTCGTTTTTTGAAGGGAAAGAAAATCATGTGAGAATAAACAATGTTGGTTTTTCATTATTATTTTTTTGGTACAAAGGAGAAGGCCGAGGCCTAAATGAGAACTAAATCAGCACCCGACGTGGGCGCGCCACGCCTAAAATATCATAACTCAACCAGTGTCCGAGGTCCTGCGGCGGTGATATAAGACGATGGAACCCAACCGGAGCACCAACAGCTAACTCAGCCAACTTATCGGCCGCGAAATTCCCTTCACGATATATATTTTTGGTACAATGTTGGTTTTTCATTTTTGTTTGCTGAAACAGAGTATATCTATTGTACGGTTTTGCTATGGAGCAATCGGATGGCTGACACATGTCCTGCTATAAATGCACATTGGACATGTGTCAGTATATAAAATTATGGATGGCTCCATAACGGAGCCATCCGATTGCTCCATAGAATTACTGATCTATTGTATTCAATTAGAGTAATTAACTGCACGAAATTATCGCCAAAATTGAAAATTTTAGGTAATATTCTAAGTTTGAATATTATAGGAACTACCATTCTAAAAGAGAAGTCCCTTCGCGGACATCCGATAAAATTGGAACGATACCGAGAAGATAAGCACGGCCCCTGCGCAAGGATGACACGCATAAATTGAGAAATGTACCATTCTAAAAGAGAAAAAGAATATAGCTGGTTTAATTAAAACATACATTATTTTGCTTGTTACTCTAGAATTATATCAACTCAAAATGTCTTTTTGTTGCTTAAGGAAACACTGACTTGTAATTGGTAAAGCTTGAGCAAAACATCAGCCGTATCAACATGCCTATTTCAGTCATGACCTTCTCACGTGTAAGTAGAGTTGTTAAACAAAACGAGTATCTTTTTGTTCAGTTCTATTTATGACGAGTCGAGCTCAGCTTGTTTGTTTTCATACCCCTTTTAATCATCACTAAAGGAAAAAAGGTAGAAAGAAAATTGATAAATATGAAAGCCCACAAAAACTTGTTCAAACAAACAAAATCCAAGAAATCAAACTGAAAGACCAAAAGCGACAATCAAACTAAACTAAATCATAATCATAGAGGAAAAAAAATCAAACTATAAATTGAAAAAACATAACAATCAACTTTAAATCATCGGTAACGAAAGCTTAAATCGTTAATGAACACGGTAGTCTGGCAAGACGGGCACCGGTTGCAGCCCTCCAACCACAAGCAAATGCAACCGGAATGAAAGTATGCCCACACCTCGGAAGCTTAGATGCAACAATACTCACACTCATATTCCTCGAGCATATACCACACATACCGTCGATTTTATCCACCTTTTTATGGATATCTCTAATGAAATCGTACGATATGTTGTAAATCTTCGGTGCGCACTCCACCGTGGAATAAGTAAACGGCAAGTACGACATGGGCACCAAGTATTGGGCTCGGATTACCCTGTCCATCACGGCCTCATTGGACTCTCCCTCTTGTTGGGCCGTGCGTACCTCGAGGCCCACTACCACCAACGAAGCCCATTGAACCTCACGACCACTCGCATTCTGTCGGGCGAAATCAATGGCCTCGTCAACAAGACGAAAGATTTCATCTTGGGTCATCCAGTAATCCCTCAGCCGTTCAAATGCCTGGGCATTGAGCAAAAACCGCTCAAGTGCAGGGTTTGCCAATTCAAAAACTATGGCATAAAAACTCTCCGAGTCCATAAATGTATTGGGACCAAAAGGCTTCATCGCCAAGGTGAAGTCGGTTTTGAACTCAAACACAAAGATTCTATAGCCAGGTTTAAATTTGGATGCAACATTAGGATTTGCCTCGTGAGCTTTCACTTTGGATATAATCTTCGGGTCCATCTTATCCGCGTCTCCCATAGACATCCGCCAATGATATTCGAACCCAGCCTCACTACCCATCTTCTTGCAGAAACTTCACCTTCAACCCGAGAACAAAACAAAGGATGTTGGAAATTTTTAAATTACATGAAAACTAGGAACAATTAAATAAACAAAACTTAATTCAGCCACAACAAATACACACACACACAAACACACACACACACACACACACATATATATATATGTATATATATTTTTACGAACTTAAATATGAGAGTTGTGCTTATATATTATATATTATTATTATCACTAGTAGTCTTACGGCCGTGCACGCACGGCCGACTTAAGTTTAGTCATTGAAATGATTAGTTGAATTTATATTTTTTTTAAAACATTTTTATTAAATTTTATACAAATGAATTTTTATGTTCAATAAATTTTGACAAAGCCCGACTTTCATAACTTTCATAAACAGTCTGAAGGCTTGTAATTCTTGCACATTAATAAAAACAAAAACTCAAAATGAACAAAATAGAATATCTGACAAAATCCGAAAAAAACTTCTGGTAGACAAATCCGTAGAAAATTTTGTTAAATTTACAATTAGTGTCCATGTTTGCGGTAAGGATGAATTCAAATGGCTACAAAAACATTGCTCTGCAAAATTAATGAAACGAATATATTTTATGCAGAAGTTGCGATTCGATAGCCAGTAGGAATATTCTAATTTTTTAGCACAA